ACTGTTTGGTAGAATTCTGCTGTAAACCTATTTGGTCCTGGGCTTTTTTTTTATTCAGGAGGTTTTGTATTACTGTTTCAATTTCCTTGTGTGTTATGGGTCTGTTTAAGCTGTTAATCTCTTCTTGGTTTAGTTTTGGTGGTTCCCATGCTTTTAGGTACCCGTCCATTTCTTTTAGGTTTTCAAATTTAGTAGCATACAGGTTTTTAAAGTATTCCCTTATAATGTTCTGTATCTGTTTGGTATCTGTTGTGATGTTTCCCCCTTCATCTCTGATTTTGTTGATTTGGAATTCTTTTTCTTTCTTTTGGTTAACTGGCATAGCGGTCTGTCAATTTTGTTTATCTTCTCAAAGAACCAGCTCTTGGATTCCTTGATTCTTTGTATTGTTTTCTTTGTTTCTATTTCATTAATTTCTGCTCTGATTTTTGTTATTTCTTCTTGTTTGCTGGGTTTGGGTTTCGTTTGCTATTGCTTTTCAAGTGTCTTCAGTTGCATTGTTAAGTCATTTATTTGTGTTCTTCCCGATTTTTTAATGTGGACACTTAGAGTTATAAACTTCCCTCTAAGGACTGCTTTCAGTGTTTCCCAGAGATTTTGTTGTGTTGCATTGTCCTTTTCATTTAGTTCCAGGAATACTTTTCTTTCTTAATTTCTCCTTTGACCCATTCATCATTCAGGAGTGTGTTGTTTAATCTCCATGTGTTCATGTGGTTACTAGGGTTTCTTCCAGTGTTGATTTTAAGCTTTATTGCATTGTGGTCTGATAGAATGCATGGAATTATTTCAATCTTTTTGTGTTTGTTGACTTTTTTTTTGTGCCCCAGTACATGGTCGATTTTGGTGAAGGTTCAATGGGGCGCTGAATAGAAAGTATATTCTTTGGTGCTTGGGTGGAATATTCAGTAGATGTCTGTTAGGTCCATTTGGTATATAGTATTGTTTAATTCAGATGTCTCTCTGTTAATTCTCTGTCCTGTTGACCTATCTAATGGCGACAATGGGGTATTGAAGTCCCCTACTATTAATGAGTTGGGATTAATCTGGGCCTTAAAGTCCTGTAATACTGTTTGTGTGAAGTTGGGTGCACCACAGTTTGGCGAATATATGTTCATGATTGTAGTATCTTCTTGGTTTATTGTTCCTTTGATCAGAACAAAGTGGCCCTCTTTGTCTTTTCTGAATAGTTTTAGTTTAAAGTCTATTTTATCAGATATTAGAATTGCAACACCTGCTTTTTTCTTAGTGCCATTCTCTTGGTATATTTTTTTCCATTTTTTCACCTTAAGGTAGTGCCTGTTCTTGAAAGTGAGATGAGCTTCTTGCAGACAACAAAAAGAAGGGTTTTGTTTCTTAATCTATTCAACTAGTGTGTGTCTTTTGACTGGGGAGTTCAGTCCATTGATATTTAAAGTTACTAATGAAAGATGTGTATTGATTCCTGTTATTTTTATTTCTCTTTACATGTTCTTAATATAGCTGTACATTTCCACAGTTATACCATCATTGAATTTCTTTCTGTCACCCCTTGTGTATAGTCATTCTTTTCTTCAGCTATTTGTATTACTTCAAGAACTCTCTGAAGGGCTGGTTTTGTGGGCATGAATTCTTTCAGCCTATTTATGTCATGGAAGATTTTTCTTTCTCCTTCAACTATGATAGACATTTTGGGTAAATTAATCTGGATTGGCATCTGTGATCATTTAGAACTGGGAATACTTTGGTCCAGGCTCTTCTGGCTTTCATAGTTAGCACTGAAAAGTCAGCTGTAATGCTGATGGGGTTTCCTTTATATGTGACTTGTTATTTTTCTTTTGCAGCTTTCAGTATTGTCCCTTTGTTCTGAAAGTTTAGTGTTTTTACTGTGATGTGCCATGGAGAGTTTCTTTCTGGTCCTGTCTGTTTCATGTTCTATGTGCTTCTTGTACTTGTATGGGCATGTCTTTTAATTTTGGGAAATTTTCTCTTACAATCCTGTTGAAGATCTGTTCCATACCATTATCTTGAGATTCTTCTCCTTCCTGTATGCCTATGATTCCATAAGTTTGGTCTTTTTATGGTGTCACACAATTCCTGCATATTCCATTCTTGTGATTTCTTGAATTTTTCATAATCTTTGCTTGAGTGGTCTAGTTCGTCCACTTTATCTTCCAGTCTTGATACTCTGGTTTTCCATTTCATTCATCCTATTGGTGATGCTTTCTCCTGTCGTTTCTAATTGGCTTACTGACTGTTTCACTTCCTTCATTTCATACTGAGTATTCTTCAATATTTCTAACTCTTTTCTGAATGCATTCAGAAGTTTATCCCCATCTTCCTTCAGTTTTTTTATTTCTTTCTTCGTGTGTTTTTTAAATTCACTGACTTCTTTTATCATGTTTATAATTGTTCTTTTGAGTTCCATGTCCTTTCTTATCTCTAGGGAGTTCTCATTGTACTCCTCTAGAGGACTATTGGTACTTAGTGGGGATATATTATTTTGGATTTTCATGTTATTATTTTTTCTTTGTGACTTTGACATGTGAATTTCCTTCGTAGTTTCTGATTCTTGTGTGAGGCTCAAGCCTTCCTTTTTTGAGTTTAGATCTGCTTCTTTTTGTAAATTTTATGTGCCTTTGTGGTTTACTTGTTGGGCACGTGGTTTACTGGTTGGTCTATGCTTCAGGTTCTCTCTTTTGATTTTTATATTGGTGTGGCCTAATGCTTTTGTCTTCAGGAGTTCCCACAGAGGCCTAAGTGAGATGAGGCTCAGATGATCTCAGGCTTTCTCCTAAGGTATGGGTCCCTCCAGGAAAGATGCTGCCCTCAAGAATTTGGGGACTGTGCTGGCCTGGGAGAAGGGCCCAGGATAGATGCTGGTCTCAGGAAGCTGGTGGCTGTGCCATCCTGGGAAATAAAGGGACATGAGGGAGGGACCAGGCCCAGAGGATTCCTGGGGGTAGCAGGGAGGAACTGTGGTGTTCTGGATGCAAAGGATCAGGAAGCAGTGGTGACTCTGGGCCCAGAGGTTAGCCTCCGTGTCTGGAGTGCCAAGAGAAGAAGTGGGCCTGTAGCCAGGCTAGGAGGAGAGACTCAGCAGGGGAGCTGGGTGGGTGAAAGTGGCTGGGGGAGTCTAGATGCGGTGGGTGCACTGGACTTACCCAGGAAAGGTGCTGCGACTAGGACACCAGTGGCTGTGCAGTCCAGGGAAGTAAAGGAAGTTGGGAGCAGTACCAGGCCTAGAGGGTTCCTCGTGGGCTGCAGGGAGGAACTGGGTTGTTCCTGATGCAAAGGATCAGGAAGCAGTTTAGCCCTGGTGTCTTGGGTGCCAAGACAAGAAATAACTGTGTACCCAGGCTAGGAGGAGAGACTCCAACGGGTAGCTGTGAGGTGAAAGAGGCTGGGGGAGTCAAGGCACGGTGGGCACGTTGGACTTACCCAGGGAAGGTGCTGGTATCAGGACACTGGAGGCTGTGCAGAGGAAGCAAAGGGAGATTAGGGTGGGACCTGGCCCAGAGGGCTCCTGGGGACTGCAGGGAGGAACTGGGTTGGTCCAGATGCCAAGGATCAGGAAGCAGTGGCTGCTCCGGGCAGAGAAGTTAGCCCTAGTGTCCAGGGAAGGTGCTGGTATCAGGACCCTGGAGGCTGTGTGGCCCAGGAAGCAAAGGGATGTGAGGTCGGGACCAGTCCAGAGGGTTCCTATGGAAGGTGCTGGTACCAGGACACTGAAAGCTGTGTGGTCCAGGAAGCAAAGGGCTCCACTCTTTTTTTAAAAATATTTTATTTATTATTTTTATTTTATGTGTATGAGTGTATTGCCTGCATGTAAGTGAGTGCACCTGTGTCATACAATGCTGTGGAGGTCAGGAGATGGCTTTGGATTCCCCTGGAACTGGAGTTAAGGGTGGCTTGAATCCTCCATGTGGGTGCTGGGAGTCAAACCTGGGTCCTCTGCAAGAGCAGTCAGTACTCTTAACCACTGAGCCATCTTGCCAGCCCCCATAGTCTCCATTCTTACATAATACTATAATTGGAAGTAGGGCAATGACAGTGAGTTCGTGTTCTCATGAATTTATATATTTTTGAAGTTAGTTCATGGTCTCATAAATTTTTATATTTTTGAAGGCTGACCAAAATAAGCATGTAATAACACAAATGGTGCTAAAAATATTAAAGCCGGTTGTGGTGGTGCACGCCTTTGATCCCAGCACTCAGGAGGCAGAGGCAGGCTGATCTCTGTGAGTTCAAGGCCAGCCTGGTCTACATAGTGAGTTCCAGGACAGCTGTGGCTACAGGGAGACCCTGTCCCAAAAAGACCAAAAAAATTAAATAAAATATACCAGGATAATTAACATAGGGCATGGTTCACTCTGACCTTGTGTTCTGCATGCAAAATGAAGCAGAAACAGCTAATGTCCACAGTCAAGAACACAAGATAGACATAAGAGATTTTGAGGACATAACCCCATTCAATAGGTGAACAGGAAAGGCATTTGTAAAGAAGTGTTAGAATGGAGTTGTGGAAGAACTAACAAAACAAGTCATGTGGATATCAGAAAAGCTTTACAAGTAGAGGAAAAGTCAATACAAAGCTTTGAAAGTAGAAATATGGTTGGAATATTTAATAGGAATGAATCAAGGTAGCTATAACATACTGAAACCTTTAGAAGGGTGCTGTAACCACCATAGGAGAGAAAGCAGCATAGGGACGAATTGGTATTAAGAAGATCATTGATTCCATTTCTCTTTAATACTGTTTGAGTTAGATGCTTAGGCATCTAAGCTTGGTGTTAATAAAGCAGTTAGTTGTAGGAGTTGGAAACTTTATAATTAGCCTCAACACTTGCTGTATTCTTCTACTATTTGTTTCAATTATGTGTGTCCATGTCTTACACTGTTAACTTCTGGTAGTTCCTTGACAATAGACATCTTTGATTTTTTTCCTGTCTCTCACATAGCATATGAATTGTATGCACAGCAGACTGCATAGGTGACATATATTTCTTGGTTTCATTATTCAGATACAGCGATCCAGTCCTGTCCTATGCCTCCTAAAGAACCACTGGGAACTGGTGGGTCTCGTACATAAGACTTCAAGGATATGTCACAATCCCACGGTCATCATTAGAACAGCCCCTTACGTTAACTGGATGAAACGATTCATCAAGGTATCCAAGAAACTGCTGAATCCTACTTCATCCTTAGAATGCAGGACATTACGTGACAATGAGTATGTTCCCCAAATCAAGCATGGCCATAGTTACCTACCTACCCTGGCCACACCTAATCCCTCCATACAATTTTTGCAAGAAGGCTCAAACATTTCTCCACTAATCAAACACATCAAAAAATTTCCAGCAGTCCTTAATTTTAGTCATTTACCTCCTTTCACTGCCGATCACAAAATATTCCTTGATAAAAGCCATACCCCACAAGCTGGCAAGTTTCTCGTTGAACAAATGAAGGTATCACCTATTTCTGGACTTCCAGAAACTCCTGAACAGAATCCAGTTCCATATCATCAGGATATGGAAACTAAAACCAATAACTTAACCCCTAAATCTTCATTAGCTCAAGTTCTTTCTGACACAGCCATGTCATATACGCCCCCTAAGGCTAATTCAGCTAAACCTTGGCATTTTGCAGTGGGTAATAGAGATGAGTCCCTTGGTAATATCATGCCTGACTTAATTAAACAATGGCGTTCACATGTGGACAATGTAGTGGACCAGCAGGAGATTTCCCAGGAGCCTTAATGCTACTCGTGAAACTTGGACAGGTAATCCTCCTAATTTGGATGAACTGAAAAATCTTTTGAGGGCCTATACAAACACATCTCAAAATCAGTACACTACTAAGACCACCTCAACATCACCAAAATATCTGTTATCTGAAGAGGATGAATCCTTGGAATTATTTCCTTCAGGTATAACTCTTAACAAAACAGTTCTGCCTATTAATTCTGTAGTAATAAATAAAACTTTTCATCAGTCTCCTGCTGATAGTACAAGAGTTCCTCAACCGAGTGGTACAATTGAGCCCTGGAGATCTTCTTCTGAATATAGTGCTATGAAACCTCAAGATCATTCTGTTACTGATTTAGTAAGATCTCAGAATCTTCCCATAGCTCATGTGAATGCACACCACATGTTACCAATAGTTAACATAGGTGTACCGGAAAATCCTAAAATGGTTATGTATGCACCTCCACCCACTGATTTTGAGGCTAATCTTGCCCCATACCAATTTCAGTATGGTACATTACCATCACAAGATCAGTCTTTACGTAATGCCGTGATACCGCCTAAGTCTGACGTTGAACAGTAATTGTGACTTGAAATAGCTGGACTTCTAGCTTAATCTTGGTGTAATAATCTAGTAATGCAAAGTAGATATATAAAGAATTCTTGTCTGGATTGAAGCTCACATGTTTATTGAGACAAGTTACCTTTACTTCCTTGGAATATCTTATGGCTTCACCTCATTTAAAATATCATTTTTCATAATAGGAAAGTATTTAATATGCATCTCTTTTCAAAATAAAAGAGAATAAATTAAAAAGTAAATGCTGTTTTTGTGAATTAAATCTTGTTTTGTTTTGGAGTTTTTCATCTTTAAGAAGTTTAGTCTTTTTACACGAGGAAAGTTGATCATTCTAAGTATTATTGCCAAAGTTATCTTTTAATGCTGTGATAAAATACTCTGACCACAAACAACTTGGGGAGGAACGTGTTTATTTCATCTTACACTTCTAAGTCACAGTCTGTCTTTGAGGGAAGCAAAGCAACTCAGGGCAGGAACCTGAAGGCAGGAACTAAAGTTTAGACAATGGAGGAATCTTGTTTACTGGCTTGCTTCCTTGGCCTGTGCTTAGCCTTGCTATCTTATGTAACCCAGGACCACCTGCCTAGGAGTACCACTGCCACAGTGGGCAGGGTCCTCCATATCAATCAGCAATCAAAGAAATGCTTCTCAGGCATGCCCACATGCCAGCCAAAAGAGGAAATCCCCCAGCTGAGGCTCCCTCTTTCCAGGTGTGTCAAGTTGACAATCATGAAAGTTATTCTTAAAATTTATTCCAAGATAATTGAACAGTTGAGCAGTTTTAAAACATCATACAAAGAAGTTAGCCTGTGTTATATTTATTGTAAATTATAAAAATGTTGAAAAACTGAAATACCATATAACAATCAGGATATTAACACTTTTTAAAGTTTTTACAATTTTATTAGAATTTTAAAGAAAAAGAAACTTTCAAGGCAGGCGAGGTGGTAATCTTGGCAGCTGCCTTGAGGAGGTAAATGGTAAGAAGAAAGAAAGACATGAGGTGGTGCAGGTTTAGAGCCTGCATGGGAGGTCAGACACTTGGCTGACTGGCAGCCACATGGCTGGGAGAAGGAAGCTTCAGAGAAAGTAAAGAAATACAAGATGCTAGGGACAGCCCAAAGCCTTAAAGAAAATATCTTTAGTAAGAAAGGCATGAAGAAGACAAAGGGAAATTATGCTTCCCTGAAGAATTCAGGGAAGCGGGCAACTCACAGACTACATACATGGCTGTAGCTAGGAAGTTCTGCCCAATAGGCAGTACCCCAGGCAGGAAAAAGTCACTGTCTCATTAACACACTAGGTATTCCACCCATCTGTTTAGCATAATCCACCTTCCTAGGGATGATCCTATGAGCAGATGATTGACCAGTTAATCTTACATAAAATGGAGGTACTGGTATTACACTTACACAAAATGGGGGAGCTTGGGGTATTACATTCCCCACTGGCTCTGGGACATAAATAAAATCTTTGACTTGTTTTGATTTTAAGGATCATATTGGGCCCTTAGAACCCTAATTTTGAGAGCATTTGGGAGCCTTTTGATCTATCTGGTTAGGCAATTTAGGAGGCATGGACCCACAGTAAAGGCTAGGAGGAGTATTACCAGAGGTCCAGTAAAACTTGATTATACTTGAATTATTGGCATAAAAGCAGCAGACCTCACCTAAGGCCATGTATGAGCCATCTTCCTTAAGGAACAGTAGGTCTATACTCCTGCTGTTCTGTAGCACCATTTTAGCTAGGAAGTTAACTTGTCTCTCCAACTGCCAGATGGAGTCCTGTAGATGTCCAATGTCTCTGTCTATCTGAGAGCTTAGAAACCTAAAATTTTTATTACCTATGGTTAGGGTGGCACCACCCAAGGCATCAGAACCTGCAATGACTATTTTCACAAGGATGGCAGTGTGATTTCTCTTGGTCCTTGAGAGACCTGGGTTAAGGTGAAGTGTTTCCACCCTTTTTCTCTGCTATGTAGAGAAACCTGGGGGAGAACATGGACTAGTATGCACATGTCCCCATGGTGAGAATCCCATTTTAGCTGTTCTGTAGTTATGTACTTAGTAAGACTGAAGGTGGATGACCATCAGGTGGTTTCAGGGGCTTGAAAGAGTAAACTCAAATTTCCTGAGAACTTATGGGGCTATATGTTGTTCTAATATTTTCCCCCCTCTGAAGAGGTAACCTTTGAAATCTAGGGATTAGACAAGAGCTCTCAAATATTTTTGATATTTCTGAACTTTGATACATACTAGGCTGCTAAGAGGCCCAAGGACATTTTGACTTTTAGCCAAGAAGGAAACTGGCTACTTTTCTTTGGGGTCTTTTTAGCCTGTCTAGTTAATTTCTACCTCCTCTTCTTATCATACTATCACCTAAAGAAGTTATCCCAAATTTGCCAATGGGGAATTGAGCTGCAGACCTCTCTGGCTTCTTCCATGGTGAAAAGGGATGCAGGGGTGAAAATTGGGGTACCCCCTTCAGTAGGTCTCTCTAAAAGACTCCCAAATTGAATAACTCTTAACTGTAGGAAGAAAAGAATGTCCTTGACTGGTGCCTTTGAGATGTGAAGGAGAAGTAGGTAAGAGTAGTTAGCATTATAAGTTCTAGACAGGGAACCAGAAAATGTTAGAACAGGGAAAATTTTAAATGTCCAAATTAAAGTCCATTAGAATTTCCTGAAGAGGGCTTCCCAAAGCACCTATTTATTGGGTTCCTCCTCATTTTTCTTCTGGTCACCAAGGCTGGATGTGAGAATGATAAGCTCAGAATTTGTTTTCTGGCACTTTGATAGCTGTTGGAGTGGCTAGAATGTTTTCTTTTAAATGACTTCTAGGCAGGGAGAGAAACTAAATTTAGTCATCATTTTAGAACAATAGTGGGTTGTCTCCCTTAGCTGCAGGTGGGCACTACAGGGCTGTAGACCAAGATTTGAAGTTTTATACCTGAGCAGCATTTTCTTGTTAAGAACAAACTCATTAATGAGGAATAATTGTTTAAATAACATTTTACATGAACTTTAGTCTGATGTCTGGGAAATGCAATCCCTTGAAATCTTAAAGAAATATACATTGATCATTTTAATTTTTGGTTATACTCTCCTTTGGGGTGTTTAAGACCATACAGTTGGCCCAAATTAATTTACTTTTGCTTTTCAAGTTGGTTGAGGATCTGTTCCTCAGGGGTCACATGGGCTTGGGAGGAGCCCCTGGCTCCTTAGGCCTTCCTTTTAACAGTTCCATCTATTTGAAGATAAGTCAAAGGTCCTGCTAGACTATGGATGGCTTCACTTGGAAGCATGGAGGAAATTGTTTACTCTGTGTTTGACCCTTCTCTTTGCAGACTGGACACTGGTTCAAGTCCATCTGGTGGGGTCTCCATTGCCTTCCTGAACCAGAGTACAGGTGACTCACCACAGTTACAGGACATTTCGAGAGATGCCCTATAGTCCCCTGGACCTTAGTCAATCTTGTAGGGCAAGGAACAAAAAAATGTTCCTTTAAATCCCTCTGATCAGACTAGTATAGGCCTCAAAGTACGGCTGTTAAACACCTGTATTAACCACTTTTCTGTTGCTGTGATAGAAACACTGACCCAAGCAATTTATGGAAGGAAGAGTTTATTTGAGCTTACGGTTCCAGGGGAATTACAGTCTGTCATGGCACGTATCCATGGTGGCTGGAGGTGGCTGGAGCATGAGCAGGAGAAGTGAAGCTCTCACATCACCATGCAGGCACAGGAAGCAAGAGTAAAACTAGAGATTCAGCAAAGCTTAAGAACTCTCTAAGCCCACCCCCAGTGACGTGCTTCTTCCAGGATAGCCACACCTTTTAAAACCTCCCAAAACAGCGCCATCATCTGGGGACAAAATACTTGGAGCTTATGGGGGACATTTTCATTTAAACCATCACAACACCCAAGAAGGTTAGTTATATCAATCTGGTACTCTTAATTACCATGTGCTATGTAGATAAAGCATCGACAAAAAACAATTTTTTCAGATAAACCTTGACCAGATAAAAATTTTTTCCTTAAAGTAGTTGACCAAACTTTGACCTTAGAAATTATAAAATTATTTGCATATTATTTTTGTCTTATTTTTGATATATTAAAACAAATCTATATGGGCCATCATCATTTGTTTAGGCTTTCTCATTTTCTTGTCTATTTTGGGAATTTCCAGTGCCAGCCTCCGCCCGCTGCTCGCCTGTTCACCCGCCTCCCCAAGACTCTCAGATGCAGCAGGGAGTTTAGTCAGGCAGGAACTCGTTTATTGTAAGTGTTACAATGCTTATAAAGGCAAAAACCACAATCATTAGCATAGACAGGAACCTGTTCTCCAATCCTGTGAAAGGTCACTTAGGCTCCTTTCAATGCACTACTATGGTGATCATGAGGTATTCACGCATTTTTCTCCTGGTTAGTCTCC